TTAGTTTAGATTTTTATAAATGGAACGAGGGCCCCTATGATTAAGATATTTCTCCTTTTTTCTTGAAGTACTAGTTAAATTAAATTCTTCCTCAAATCTTCCTATTAACTTTACTCAAAACTAGAAGTTATATTATTGCATCATTCCTAGTGACTAAGATTGAATGCACGCCTTTTCTTATTCTACTAATTTATAACGGCAAAGGGAAAATATAATTAAATCTGAGCAATTATAGTGAGCTGGCCAGACTAGGCCTTTGTTACCTAGTAATAGTAATTAATTCCAAATGATTGATGGTTTCTCTCTTCTAGGATATGTGATCTCTAGCTTGCAATAAGTCTTATCCTTTTACTTTATTTCCATAACATTAAAACAAAACATGGTGTCCAAGGCCACCTGGTTGCTCTGTTTTCTTAGGTCTATGCTGCCGCCACTGTGTATAACACACTATTACTGTTTTAAATCTGGCCTTTTCATACACTCTTACCCATTTCATCCAATTTCTCCATGTCCCGGATAATCTGTTTGGGATCTTTCATCTTCAAAACCGCAGCTCGGACCATCATGCGCTGTTTTTTGTTCTTAGAAAGGCAAAAGAGAAGACTACTGAGAAGCTGCTTGCTCAGGACATTTTTTACTTCAATTTGCCTCAGGAATCTAAGAATAATTTTAAATTTCCCTTGGTTTCTAACCACACTTAGCTATGAGAGCTCTTGTTCCCAACAACATTTAGACCTTACTAAAAAGATGTACTTTCTTGGGAAGTATTTGTCTCAACCCAGTTAAGACTGTTAGCAACTACATAAAAACTTGTTTAAACACAAAATGCAGGGGCTGCAGTTAAATTAAAAAATACTATGCTGGGTAAGGAAATTTTTCAAAGAGTCAGGACTAAAGAATAAAACAAGAGCATAATAGAGATTATAAAAAGTCCCTGAACACATTAAAGAGGGATACCTAATGTTTACTCCTTTAAGTCCTCTGTCAAAACGCAATAGCTGATGAAGATATACAAAGATCTCCAGCAACACATTTACTGGCCTTCATTCCATACCTTTAACAAAGCAGCTACATTTTGGTAAGTAGTAAAAATAATTCCTTTCTTATGATAGGGTCTGATGTAGCTCAAGCTAGCCTTTAATTCCTGATACTCTTGACTCTGATCTCCACATTCCAAGTGCTGGGATTATAGGCATATGTTACCACACTCAGGATAAGAATTATTTTCAAAAGGCATTTTAAAATATAATTTTATTTATGGGTGTGTGTTTGTGTGAATGTATGGGCATGTGTTTATGGGTTCTTGTGGAGGTCAGAAGAGGGTGTTGGATTCCTGGGAGATGGAGGAACAGACAGTTGTGAGCCACCCATGGGTGCTGGGAATGGAACTCCGATCCTCTGCAAGAGCAGTGTGTGCTGCAATCCACTGAGCCTCACTCTGGCCCCCAAAGCATTTTTTTTAAACTTTTGGGCAGGAGAATCAAATAAACATAAACAATGTCATACAAAGCTACCATAAATCGAACCTCCAAGTTTTATCAGTTATTAAACAGTCGATTTTCTGGTTTTCATTGAAGTATAAAGCATCTTTTCTGGCACATAATTTGAAATGTTATTTTCATTCACAAATCTCAAATAACACACAGAATGTGTCTGAACGCCTACCTTTTTCAATTCTCTTTTCCGGGCTTCCTTTCCTAAAGAGAGGGGAAGAGACCACACAACTCAAATCTTCAACATTATCACAAGACAACACCCACAATGTTCTCTTCTGAGGCCTCCCTATGCAACACATGGAGATGTCACAGCACCAGCGGCTTCGACCTACAGATGACTGCAGCACTTCAATTAAAACCCTCACATCCCAAACGCCAACACGTTTGTTTTCATAGGAATAACTGAACCATAAGGAGAAAACGAGATGCTCAAACACTAAAAAACACTTAAAAACTCACTTGTTTAAAAATTCCAACAAAAAGACAACCAATTTTATCCTTCAAGCCAACCAACTTTGACAAAGAAACATGGTTTTAACTGATTTACATTCTCACCATTTTAGTCATGTGAACTAATTCTAAGAATTCAACATGACTTTACACAACTCACTCACTCCTGCCAACGCCCCAGTGAACTAGTCTCTGAAGTGTTTTCCTCTTCCACACCAACAGCACTTACGAGCTTGGTCCGTGGGGTTCATAAACTTCCCACTCTTGGTGGAGGATGTTGATCTCCGTCCCATGTTGACAATTTATATGGTTTACTTCTTCATTAAGAAAAAAAAAACTGGAATAAAAAAAAAGAACAAACTCAGTTTTCCAGTATGTTTAACATGTCTTCCTTTTTAGAATTTCCATCAATTTTTAGAAAGAAATATCCCTTTGATTATTAGTTTTGTAAGAACTCTCTCTTTCCTTGTTAAGGTTATCATATGGCTTTACCTTTCCTGACCACAGAAAAGCTAACACGTATTAGTCAAGGCAGTGGGATATCATTAACTCACCACCTGAACACTTGGCTATGGATTACATAGCTCTGTCAAGTAAAAAAAATCAACTAGGAGTTTGCACTTGGAATGTGGACTGAGCCGTAAGAGATTACCTCAAAACAAAACAAAAACTAACTAGAAAATGTTCTAACAATGTGATACAAACCATGGGTATAAGAAGCCATTAGTCCTTTTCCTACATACCCGTTACACATAAGGTGAAATCAAATACAAGTAGGGGTATGGATCTAGGCTCAAAGACATGGTCTGACTTTTCTCCTTGGCATGTGTACTGTTCATTCAACACCCCACAGATGGTAGAAAGTAATTAACTTAAACATATTTAATTTAGATTTAATACAAGTCAAATATGATTCATGACTCTCCCCAAATAATGACATATTAGAACTTTCCAAATTTAATATTAACATATATATTTTCTTACTAGTACTTATGACTCTTGATTTATATATCTTAAGGTAATTAAAAGTGGTAGTCACTGTAAGAATAGATTTTCAAGGCTTTTATTAGTATCAATTCTTCCTCTTCTATTCAAAATTTAACCTGTCCAATAAAAAAGTAACAAATGTTTCCCATTGAAACTACTGACATATGGCTCCAGGCACCCTCTTGTTGCTCCCTATGAACACTAAATAAATCTACTTTCTTTCTTAAAAAGATACTGTAAAGGTAGGGAATTGGGGAGCTCCTGAGATGAATTTAATAGACCTTACAACTCTGCCCCGGCTCCTTTGTTAAGACTTTGGAGGGTTTTTGTTTTTTTGTTTTTTTTTTTTTAGATAATGCTTTTGTTTTTTTGTTTTTGTTTTTCGAGACAGGGTTTCTCTGCGTAGCTTTGCGCCTTTCCTGGAGCTCACTTGGTAGCCCAGGCTCGCCTCGAACTCACAGAGATCCGCCTGCCTCTGCCTCCTGAGTGCTGGGATTAAAGGCGTGCGCCGCTACTGCCCGGCTTAGATAATGCTTCTTTCATCAAGTGGTCAAGCCCGGCTACCTGCTACTTGTAGGTGTTTCAGAACTGTTCGGTGGCTATTATTTCATTATAAAATGTTCCGTTATCAGAAAACAAGGGAGCCAGGATGATGGGAGGAAGGCAAGAGAAGCACTGATTATAGAGAACTAGAGAAACGCACGGACACAAGCTCTTATATTTTTGATCCCATCTTTAGTGCGTTCCCTTTTCAAGGAGCCTCGGGTTCACGCTTTGACCTCCTCCCGCCTCCCTCTCCCACAACTGAAAACACCGCAGCCACGGGTCACTGGGAATTTTTACAAGACCGCAATGCCTTCGTCTACAAAAGCGGCCCTCGGAGAGGCAGACGCATCTGGGCGAGGACGGGTCAAAAGAACCCGGACAGCACAAGGGCAACCCGACCCGTCCAGGGCCACCGAAGGCGGCCTCAGCCGCAACCGCCGCAACCACGGCGACGGTTGATCCCGACTCGAGCGGCTCGACGTCAAGCCGAGCCAGCGGCCGCCGCGTTCCCGAGGCGGACCCAACCCACCGGGCAGGCTCGGCCGGGGACCCGCCGGACGCTGCGCCACGCCGGGCCCCGGAGCCCTCACGCCCGCAGCTCCGGCGACCCCGGGCCAGCGGAGGAAGAGCGCGGCCCCTGGGCCTGGCGCTTCTGCGGCGGCCGCGCAGGCCCCCGGGGGAGTCGGAGCACCGCGACCGCGCACACTCACGCGACTGCGGGGCTCCCCGACCGGCGAGGCCGGGCAGCGGGCGGTCCCAGCGTCCTCGCTGCGACGGGGCCTTCACCTCTGCCGCTCGGTCAACCACCCAGCCACCGCCATCTTGAAACCTCGCGCCCCTCCGCCATCCTGACGTCACTTCCTGTGCCCGCGGCCGACGCTCTCGCCGCGTTGCCGAGTCCCGGGACCATAGAGAGGACACAGCAACGTCAGGGCCAGAGTTGCTTCCGCTCAAATCCAACATCCGATTGGATATCGGCCAGCCAAGAACCCGCCTCATTCCGGAGCTTGTAGATTGACACTGATATCGTCCAATAAGAATAAAAAGAAGGAAACTGCTATGTGATTGGCCAGTTGCTGTACCTCTCTCGGAATTCTGACGTAGTTTCCGGAAGCTCCTTCTATGGAGAGGTCAGGTATCGGTCCTTCTACAAGGCAGAGTCGTGTGGTGATTTTGTCCCTTGTTGTGTGGACTGTAAATGGATGCTGTCCTCCGGGAATGCCTCCGTTTGAAAACGAGTTCCCGGAGGACAGTAGGCTCCGAGTTTAAAAAGTGCTCGGCAAACATCAGCCCTTTGCATGCCTGCCTGGTGCTCCTGGGATTCAGGAGAGGCTCGCAAACACCCAGCATGTGTAGATCCGAACAAAAAAATCATTTCCTGGCGAGACTCACTAGTTGATAATCTGCACACACACAAAATACATTTTAAAAGAGAAACAAGGGTACATGTTTTAGGTTTTCCAGAGGAAAACATAACGCTCCCGTTCCGACTGATCTCTTGATCACCCCAAAGTCCTTTATGATGTCATTACACACTCGGAATTCGTTCTCTCTAGTCTCCGTCTTTTCCTTCCCTCCTACACCCCATTCCTTAAGACTCCTCCCCACCCTTTCCCCCTAAAGGTAAGCATTTTAAATGAAATCTTCGTAAAGCTCATGCTTGGTTGTTTTTCGGTCTGAGCATCCTTTACAGAAAAAGGTTATAAGGGAATTTCGATATCAGGTAGTCCGTAAGTATTGATAGACATGTATATTAATGTTTATGATGTTTAAGTGTGTCGCCTAACAGTGTAACATCAGTCCCATACTTACGCTAAGCTTTGTTGTAGTAGAAAAAACACTTACATTTTGAGGTAGGATCCCTGTGAAGCCCTGACTTGTCTGTTCAATAAGTAGACCTCCACCTCCCCATCCTCCTGTCTCATTGTCTTGACTGATGGAGTTACAGGCATGAGGCATGATGCCTGGGTACCTTATTAAATTCTTGGTTTGATTACTCTTTGAGTGTCAGCGGTAGCAAGATCTAGTCGTTCAAAACTTACCAGCTAATAATAATAATAATAACAACAACAACAATAATAATAAAAACCTGAAGGTGACCCAAATTGTTATATTGAAACTAATTTATAAGACCAGTGATAAAACAGAAAATAATACATTTGAAAAAGTCATATGGCTAGTTAAAATTTTTCATCTATTTGTAAGAGTTGGTTTTTTTTTTTTTTTTTGGTTTTTTCGAGACAGGGTTTCTCTGTGTAGCTTTGAGCCTTTCCTGGATCTCTCTCTGTAGTCCAGGCTGGCATTGAACTCACAGAGATCCTCCTGGCTCTGCCTCCCGAGTGCTGGGATTAAAGGCGTGCGCCACCACTGCCCGGCAGTTGTTTTGTTTTTAAGTACAAAAAAATTCATTGGAATAAAATACTCAGGATACCTCAAAAACCTCTTACAGCCGGGCAGTGGTGTCGCACGCCTTTAATCCCAGCACTCGGGAGGCAGAGCCAGGAGGATCTCTGTGAGTTCGAGGCCAGCCTGGTCTACAAAGTGAGTTCCAGGAAAGGCACAAAACTACACAGAGAAACCCTGTCTTGAAAAACAACAACAACAACAACAAAAAACAAACAAACAAACAAACAAAAAACTATAGCAAGGACATTCTCGGCATCAACAGTATAATAACTTTCAAAGTGTACCCTATAAATGGGCCAATGGGAATTGTTAGTTGAAGGATTTAGAAAACAAATGCTGTATCTACAGAACTGAAGTTGTATCAGCAGGCCTCCATAGCCTCTGGCTTTTCCTGAAATCTGGGGGTAAATGACAAACCCGAAAGGCCACTGCGTCCTCTTCCTCACCCTAATATATTTTATGCGTGGATAGCTGGGCTTTATTTCTTGTTTGCTTTTGAAAATGTTCTAGAGTGTCCCACGGCCTAAGTGATAGGAACAGTTGGTCAATATTAGTTGCATTATAGAAACAAGTTTTATTATTTTATCTTTTTCCAAATCTATCCAGTCACACTTTGTAATTAGTAGAAGCTTACAGATCCATTGCCTCCTTTCATTCTTGGGGAAAATGTTGTTGGTTGCAGTCGTTTCCAGGTTACAGACAGTTGGATTTAATCTAGGGGTAAAAATGTGGAAGTATTTCTAGTTAACTTGAAGGCTGTAAGTGTGTATCTAGCCAGATGAGTATGTCTCATTAGACCTAAGGGATGTTTGGAACAGGCGATAGGAATTCCTCTGCATTTATATGGGATGTTTGAGGACATTGAGTGGGAACAAGGAAACAGTAGTCTATACCTGCTGCTCTGTGATGCATTTATAACACAAGGTTCTGACAGCAGGGGAGAAAACTCCCAGATAGAGACTCAGCCCTTCAGGGTCTAGTACAACCAATGTGGGCACTCGCTGTTGTCATAGAACCCAAGCATTCCCAATTTTTTACTCTATCGCTGTCCACATCGGAGGCATATGGAAAATGAAACTAGTTAAAGAAATAAGCCTTGAGATGCAGAGGGAAGCACAGAACTATCCCAGTGGTGGATCCATGACTTCATCTTATCTGGCGTTTCACGGCACTGGTGACCTCAGTGATGGCGTGATGGTACCTTTCCGAAGCTGCCTTGAACTCCACCAGATGCTTCTCGTAGCTTTTGATGGCTGCTTGAAGCTGCGTCCTCTCCACTGCTCCCAAGATGGCACGAATGATCATATCTATGCCAAGACCAAGCACGGCAACGCCGATGCTACCAAGGAGGGAAGTCCCGATGTGAGCTAGCACGGTGACCAGCTTGTTAATTATGCCAGTGGTGACATTGGAGCCCACGAGTTTAACAGCCACTGCACTGGCTGCAGTTGTAGCTTCTCCCAGGATGACAGAAATGACCTTTTGCACGATTGCGATCTTCTCTGTCTCCCGTTCCTTGATGTCCTGAAGTTTTCTGTAAAGGGTTGGCTCCAGTTTCTCTTTCAGTGCCTCATCAACCTTCTGCAGTTCCTTTTGGATCTGTATCACAGCTTGAATGATGATGTCACAGTTTTCTTTAATAGTTCCATCTCTTTTCATCTCAATGAAGGCCAGCGTACAGCCCAAGTGGGTGTTCAGAACCCCGGTCAGCTTGTTGGTGACCTGGAAGCTGTCAGACAAGCAGTCTAGAAGCTGCTGGTGAAGGCGGTTCACTTCCTGCCGCCTCCTTGGGTTTTCTGGGTAGAGGAAGTCACTCTGAGCCATATTTCAGCTACAGTCTCTGAAAAATCAAATGAAATTGTCACAGAGTGCCTGTAGGACTCTACTCAGGAGGCCTTCCAAGTAGCCATAGCCAAAGGCTTTCTCCGAGAACTCTGGTTTGATTTACTTCTCTGTTTGAGACAGGCTCTCATGTAGCCCAAACCAGGTATAATTTCAGATCCTCCAGCCTTAGCCTCCCAGGAGCTGTGATTACAGACCTGTGCCCCCTGCCTGGTATATTCCATGCTGGGGATCAAACCCAGAGCTTCATGAATTTGACACAACCATTCTACAAACTGAGCTGAATCCTCAGCCCCTCAGAGGTTAGCTCTTGACTACCATTACTTATTTCCCCAGCCCTAGCCACCACACTAAATGTGTCTGCCAGGTATATTTCTCAAGTATCTGGAGTTAAATCAATAGTCTAAAGATCTCTGGGTTTACAGCAACACTGATATAAATTTAGTGTGTATGTATTTGAAAATTTAAAATGTTCCCCCAGGGCTTGTGAGATGACTTACTTAGTTGGTACCGGTGCTTGCTTTACAAACCTGAAAAACCTGAGTTTGGTCCCTGGGACCCACTTGACCCAGCTGGCTCTTGCAAGATATCCTCTGAGCTCCACACACCCACCATGGTGTACCCACCCACAACCACCTCACCTCTCTCCAATAAATATTTTTAAAATCTAAAAAAGGAAATAAAATATTAGCATCATTATACCTCTATGAACAATTCTTTTTAAAACATAAGGACGATCCAAAACTGACACCTATGCAATATTAGAATCTTTAAAAATTCTTCATGAGCCAGGCATGGTGGTATGCCTTTGACTCTGGCACTCTGGACACAGAGGCAGGTAGATCTCTGGGCTGCAAAGCAAGTTCCAAGCTAGCCAGAGCAACGCAGTGAGATCCTGTCTCAAAAGACAAACATTTCTCAGAATAAGAGTATATTTTCCAGATGGTAGGTTGAAATATCATTTGAGAAGGTGGACCCCATACAAGAACAGGGCAGTTATGATCATGTCTGGAACTCTCTTTGTAAAGCATACACATTAAACGATTTAGTCTAGTCTATATTGCATGTGGCCATTTGCTTTGTTTTGTTTGAAACAGGGTCTCACTCTGTAGCACAGGCTCACATGAACTCACTAGGTAGCCAGTACAGCCTCAAATTCACAGTGGTTCTCCTGCAGCCTCCTGAGTGCTGAAAGCAGCCTCCACACTCTCCACAATCATTATCAAGACAGGCTAGAGTGAGTGTCAGGAAGAAGGTAATGGCTTCTCACAAAAGCTTTAGGAAGTAGCAAAAGCACACTGTACACCAATATAGCTAAATGGGAGGGGACTTCTTGTGCTTGTGTTTGTGGCTCACAGCACCCTCTATTAAGAGAGGGAACACCCATGCTTTTCTGCATTTATTTTACTGAAAAACTGGGCAGAGAAAGAACAATGTGCTTCTTAATGTGCATAATAGGCTTTCTGTGTGCCCAGCACTTGAACTTTTCTGTTAAACTCTGCAATGATTAGTTTTATAATTATTTTTATGTGTTCATACCTGCATGTGTTTTGCCTGCATGTGTGTATGTCGGTGTATCATGTGTGTGCCTAGTGCCCTCTAAGGCCAGAAGAAGACACTGGATCTCCTAGAACTGGAGTTACAGACAGTTGTGAACCCCCATGTGGGTGCTGGTAACGGAACTCAGGTCCTTTGGAAAGAGCATTCAGTGCTCTTGACCTCAGAGCCATCTCTCTGGCCCTGTTTAAAAATCATATATTATATACACATAATCATGTATGTGTTTATGAGGTTTACCAAACAATCGTTTCTCTGTTGTCTGTGTTGTAATCTGTCCTCCTGTTTTTGTCTTACGAGGCAAGTGACTGATTCGACCAGCCTGTGTTCTGATGGTGGTGTCCTTGCTCCCACCCTTTTCTGTTTAAAGAACCAGTTATCTTGTGCGCAGTGCATCAGAGCACGCTTACAAGAATACGGTGTCGTCTACCCTAACACTGAAACTAGGGCCAGTCCACACTTTACAAGAATACGGTGTCGTCTACCCTAACGCTGAAACTAAGGCCAGTCGACACCTCTGAACTGCTTTTGCAGTTTGTGTTTGGCACCGTTTACAGGAGTGCTTTTCCCAGTGACTCACAAAGGAGAAACAGCTGGTGATGCCCCACTTTCCTGGCATTTCTAATCAGGTTAGGAAGTTAAGACATTTAAACTACAAAGTCAAATTGGAAAAAAAACTGGTTGTACAAGATTCGTGTTTGACTTGTGTAAAGTCAATTTTAAACAATTCACATTTTATTACTCTATATTAATAGTGCCCCACGTGGAGACAGACACCTGGTCACTCAGGAAGGGTCACAGTGTGTGGGCTTTTGAATTTATTTCTTTAAATGTGTCCTTGATGCTTAAGAGGAGGCTCGATGCTGCATGGAGGACTGAGAGTTGGTAATGTGTGGTTTGTGCTTCCATCTGGCTTTCAACTGTTTGCTTCTGAATCGCAATCTGAGCGCTTTCCTTAGCGGAACAGAAGCCCGCAATTAGTCAGACTTCTTAAAGATCACTGATGCCTACCGACTGACACAATGCTGTGCCCCAGAGGGGTTCTGGGCTATAAACTCACTACCACTTTTTTACATTTTTAACAGTTACCTGCCTGAAGCCTGTTAAAGATTGTGGCATTACCAGGTGCCTCAGAGGTGAGTTTAACACAGGTGTAATACACCCATTTATCGCAGATTTGGGATTTCATAAAATCTGAGTTATCACATAGCCAGTGCTTCCTGTCAGTGAAAAAGTCCTGTTTGGGCATTTACTCCAGTTTTGCAGCCTGTGGTCCACTCAAGTAAGCCACCTTCTGAAGAACCCTGCAGCAGCCTGCTGGGGACTTGCCAGCCAGCAGGGGGAGCCCGTGGCTCCTGGGAGTCCCATCTCGCTCCAGCCTTTGTGATACAGTTCTGCTTTGCTTGGTGTGCGTCTGAGCTCTAGGGGTACAATTTTGTTTGGTGTGAGTGTTCGGTTGTTAAAACGGGATTTTGAGTCCAAGAGTAAATCCCGGAATTTAAGAGGTAGAGGCAGGAGGATCAGGAGTTCAAGGTCAGCCTCAACTACATGGTGATTTCAAGGCAACCTAGGTTACATGAGACTGTCTCAAAGGGGTGGAGGAGAATTATAAAAGAAGGGAATTGATGTTAATTTCATGATACTATGCAGGGGGTTTAGTTTTTTTTGGAAAAGAACCACATTGCAAGAGAAAGGATGCTGAGTGTCGGGATTAGTACTATTTGTCTTAATAGCTCTTGCTGACATGAACCTCTTGATGTAAGCCAGGCTGACCTTGAACTCATAGAGAGCCTCTTGTCTCTGCCTTCCAAGTGCTAGGATTAAAGAAAGGCATGTGCCACCACACCTGGTTTATCATGCTTTAAAAATGCCTTATTAAATTAAATTTAAAGTTAACATTCAAAGTAATGGGCTTCATTATGGCGATTTATACATATAACTCATTATGCTTTGCTCTTACCCACCCCGTCCCTCATTTCTCTGTCACTTCTTGCTGGTCACATTTTCAAATAAAACTTTTTAGGGTACTTTATGAACAACACCAGTGCATTATCAGCCAAGAGCTATGGGAATTTAAAGAGAGAAATTAAGATTGAGGGGACCGCAGGAAACTTCACAGAGAAAGCCTCATATGATTTGTGTTCTGGTAGATGCTCAAATTATAATGTTGAGAAATTAAAAATAGGAACCGATAGAGTATTTTACATATAAGACCATCCCCCTAATCTATGGACTTTTAAACAGAGAAGGACATCTGAAATCCTGCTAACTGTTGTTCTGAACATTTTTCTGTGTGCATAAAGAATCTTTACGAAGTTATAATAATGGTAAAATTGTAGTAATAATAAAATTCCTCTTACTTTAGCTCATTTACTTTCCTATATTTCTAATTTTATAAGCACTTTATTAGTTACATAAACTATTCCAAATCTTTATCATAATCCATTAAATCTCCAAGTATGTCACTGTTGTGATGTTTGTATGGATAGTCTATTTTTCCCTCCATCATCTGTGTTTTTTCCGTGGAATAAGTAAGAAAAACAACACAGTAAGGATCATTTTCACGTGGAAGTAGAAGTCAGTTCCCTCCTTCGCCTTGTGACTTCTAGGGATGGAATTCAGGTTTTCAGGCTTGGTGGCACACACTTTTACCCGTTGAGCTATCCTGCTGATCCTACTTTCTTATGCCTTTGACACATATTCAAATGGCATTTTAAAAGCTTGTCTGCTGACCCCCAAAGTAAATTTTTATGCCGTGATACTGATCTCTCTCCGAGGTGGTCTTGTTGAAATAGTGTTGACCTGAAGAACATAGGATACATTTCAGAAAGAGTTCTCCCGTTAGGAATACACACTCAGCACATTTAAGATGAAATGATGAGACCCTGGGTTTATTCTCACTAAATTTGAAGAAATAGTAAGGCGGGGTCATAGAACAGTAAGGTGGGCCTTGGTCTGTCCTTTCTAAAGCTGGGTTGAAGGTTGAAGGGTAGTACATGCAAAGTCATGCCAGTGCGACCACTGCTGTGTAGATCTGGGCTTTGTCCATAATAATTATGTATTACATTACACACACACACACACACACACACACACACAAATGGGGGAGGGGGGGCAAGGCTCTGATGTTATGCACTGCTCTCTCGGCTCCTCACTCTCCACCTGTGAGTGGAGACAGCATACAGATAAGGCCAGAAGCTTTACAGTGGGAAAGAGCAGCTGCTCTCTAGTCCTGAGCCTCACTTCAAATCAAAGCCCCGGTGTTCACTTAAGTTATGCAATGATACATTTTCTGATACAAATTCCTCTGAGAAATATTTTTAATGGAATGCACTGATAATGTTTAGCAGGAAGCAGACCATCAAGGTTATCCATTCCCACTTATCAAAAGAGTCCATTGTGGACTTGAGACATTTCTGAGAAAAACAGTGCCCGTCCCCATCAAAGGCTGTTTAGAGGCACATGGTCTATCCAAGTGTGGTTGACTTCATGGAGTACAAGCAAGTGCTGTGAGTTAGCTAAAGTAAGAGCTCACCTTCGTTCTTTCAAAGCCGAGCTCTGGGTCCCTTTATGACATCTGTAGCATAGAAAGTCCATATCATCATCCATATGAGCAACATACTTTCACACATGCATCACGGCATCTGCAGCCTTCTTAAAACGAATGTCTTTGTCGCTTCTCTCCCTCAGTGACTCAGTCTTACATCTTTCAGTGAAAGTCTTCCTTTCCTGGTGTCTTCAAAGCATGCCCTGTGATCCTCTCGAAACAAAGCTGGCACTATATATGGCTACTCACAATTGGCATTATCCCAAAGCCCTTAGCTCTTGCAATTCCGAGTATTATAATGTTCGTAGGACTTTCCACATCACTTACCTTCCTTCCCAAGTCTGTGTCCCTCTGTTGTTTAGGAGTATTGTTGAAGGGCTCTTTCATGTGGGTTCATGTGGAAGCTTCTGGTGGAATGTGATGACCTCCAGACTTTGCTGGTCTCTGCTGGGTCCCTATGCCTGTCTGGTTCATAGCCACTTCTGCCTGGTTTAGTTCTAAGAATCCTTCAGTTTCCTACAATGCAATTTGCTGATGTTGTAAGCAATGTAACTTCAGAGATTAATAAATTGATGGACTTGTTTCTGTATTTTCTATTCTTTAATGAGTTTTTCTTTTATTAAAAAGTGCTATAAAGCCAAACAAAACCAGTTCAGTAGAGGTGATGGCTCCTTGGTTATAGCTCTGAGAATCCATCTTATCAACTCTGCCAGATCCATTTTCTTTGGCTTCTGCTGCATTTGGACTGTTATCTGTTCCTGGTAGCTGTGTTCAGATTCTCAGGAGATACAAAACCAGATACAGCCAAAACTGTATACAGGAGTTTTTTTGTTTTTTTTTTTTCCAGGCTAGGAGTTCTGTTCTTCATCACTTGTTATCTTCTTAACAGAGGCTCACTGGTCCTGGAAGACTCAGTGGCTGAATGTCTCCATCCTCCCTTGCTCCCTCTTGAAGTCATGGCTTCTGTTTCTTTAGCTGCTGTTGTTAAGTATACACACACACACACACACACACACACACACACACACTAAATATATAAATACAACCTACTCACTCCATTTAGTGTTACTTGTATGTATATGATTTCAGTGCTTAACATTTGGTATTGGATAATCAATTAGATGGCTCATCCCTGGGCAAGACTATTTCTCCCCATATCAGCTCTCAGCATTCCTTTTATAGTGTGTGTGTGTGTGTGTGTGTGTGTGTGTGTGTGTGTGTGTGTGTGTGCCTGAGTGTATATGAGCACAACATGTGCAGGAGCCTGCAGAGGTCAGAAGAGGGCATTGGATCCCATGGAAGTGGAGTTCCAGGTAGCTGTGAACTGCCAGGTAGGTAAGTATAACTGAATCCAGGTCCTCTGGAAGAGCACCCAATGCTCTTAACCACTGAGCCAGCTCTGCAACCCAGAATGTCTATCAATGTTGTTTTTGTAGGTTAAAATTGAAGGTGGGTAGTAATTCCCATCACTGCTTTGGACCTCATGCCCAAGGAAAAGTCTTATTACTGAAGGGATTAGATCAGTGGAGAATTGCCTGTATCTGGAAGGCTTTGAGAACACCACAGTGCGATGACACAGAAAGGAATCAATGCCAACATAGAACAGACTTAACCAGGAGACCTGAATGGGAGTGCCCCTCCCCCATGCTCATTTTCCTTGCTGCCTAGCAAGGTATCTGGCATTTAGATCCTGGACAGTGTTGAGCTTGAACCATGTCCCCAGGCTGTGCCTTCTGCTGCATCTTGCTTTTTGGCATCTAGGTCCCACATTTCAAACCCCCCTTCACAGAAGGGATTGGCCCTGTGGGACACGTGAGATAAGCATTCAGGTGTGGGGACCCTTTTCAATGTGTCCATCCCCACAGCTGCAAAACAGGAGTTGGTCTCTGGAGAGACTGCCCAAGTGTGAAGTGAAGACACAGGCAATGGCTGCCATTGCTGCTATGGTGGTCTCTGTGTCCAAGCCTATGATGCCTTGGTCTCCTGTTTGCATTGTCCTAGTGGGACTCCAGGAAGGTGAAAGAAGTGAGAAGGGAGGAAATGAGGAAGGAAAGAGAGTGTGGGCATGGCTAAGCAGATGTCTGTCTGTGCAGGTAAATACGGAGTATGATGGTCCTAGAGGAGTCAGTGGCTGGATGAAGTGTGGATCCGAGGCAACCACATAGGCAGCATTATCTTCATTAGCACTGCCATGGCTATGCCCATGGGGGTACCACCATCTTGGTTACCTACACGGTTGCCCTTGGCTGGTGGTGGCAGGTGGCTCCATAGGTGCATGAGCCTAATTACCAGTGATGCATGAGTCCCCAGCAGGACTGCAAATTCATGCATCTCTCAGACTTGTCATGGGGTTGGCCCAACGAGTGTAGTTCAGCCTGGGCCTTCCAGTTTAAAGGCAGCCACCTCTGGTCTAATCACAGGACTTGTTTGGGAGCTGGCCCCCCACCCCCCCCCACCCCCGTCTAATCATAGAACTTGTCTGGTGTATGTGCTATTTTGTCCTTTGTTCTGGTATGGCAGGAGAGAGGGTCTAGGCACACTATCAACCTCCAACAACCAGGCACTATAAACCAGATAGGAATGAAGAGGAAAGGGCGGGTTAGAATGATAGACTCTGGACTGTTAGGGCTCCTGAGGGGTCCTACCCACCATCTCCAAGTGAATATGTATTTGGGACAGCATACAATATTTGATTATGTATGCTACCAAGGAGCATTGTGGGATCCTTTTGTGGCTTCTTAGCCTCAGAGATAAAATGATTTAAAAATGAACTCAGAAGAACACTTGAGGACAATTTTATTGGAGTTCAAAATAGAGAGGGATGGATGGAGAGAGGGGAGGGAGAACAAGTTGTAAATTTGGACAGCTTCCAGGAGGAGGGATGTGATGTTGAGTGCTGTCAACTTGGCAGGTTCTAGAATCGCTTTAGAGAAGGGCCTCTGAGCATGTCTGGGGGTGCGGTATCTTGATTATATTAACTGTGGTGGGAAGACCCACCAACTGCGAGTAGCACCATTCCCTCGGGAGGAGATTATGGACTATGCGAGGGTGGAGAGGGTGAGCTGAGTCCAGGCATGCACTCCTTGTTCTCTGCTTGTCTGGAGCCCCTGCTTCTGTGGCGTCTCCACACTGACCGACTGTCCACAGAGCTGAGACAAGGGCTTTCTCCGCTAAACTGCACCACACCACAGGAAGGGGCCGGGATATGGGAGGGGTGGGGGGAGAATCCTGCTTTCCGGTTAGAAAGAAGTTTGTGAGCATTTGTGTGGGGAGGAGGAGTGAAGGGGGAGAGAGGGAGGGAGGGATGGGAGGAGAGAGAGAGAGAGAGAGAGAGAGAGAGAGAGAGAGAGAGAGAGAGATGACCAGAAGGGGATGGGGATGTGTTGTAGGCTTTGGGTCAGTATCCAAAACAAGGAGAGAAAGTGGGGTGATAAAAGTTACACATTCTGAGGGACAACTCAGGTTTGATAATAAAGGTCTG